TAGAAATCTTAGAAATATTTAGAAACTTCAGAAATAGGAGGAAGAAAGTTATCTGTCATTTGTCAAGGCAAATAAATAGATTCCTCCTGAGTGGAAGTAAAACAATACGACGACGTCTCAATTTTCCATTCCATAATACTTTGAAAAATGAATTTCTTTTTGAAATTTTTAAATGCATCAGAGAAATCATTATTGGTATGAATAGATTTGGTTTTATATTACGGTAGTTTCATTTCTTTAGTGGCTGTATTCTGAAAAAAAAAAAAAAATGAACTAACTGGAGAATTAATTTGAGAGTTCTGCAATGTGAATAATTACTAAGATTTAAGGTAGAATAATGCAAATAAAAGCTAAAAAATATTGAAGATACAAAATATTTATTTTATTTTATTTTATTTGAATTTTGAAAATTTTTATTAACTTTAAAAGATATTTTTTAAATTGTGAGAGTAAGTTTCAATTGTTTCATGCGACTAAATTTATCGTTTCAAAATATATGGTTTCAAGCGATTAATTTGAAAGATTTTTTTCTGTTTCTTTACAAAAGTTTTTCACCTTTTAATACAAGCCTAAATTCTGTTTCATCAATCTGTGGACATAAAATTTTAATGGAACCATCTTATGATTCTGTGCATTGAATCATTGCCCAAAATTGAAGTCTCACAAGTAAGAAAGGAAATAATTTATATAAGAATTTGTAAGGGACTCCCTTACAAATTCTTTGATTGAGCTGTAATGTATATAACAGGTCTATGGTTAAGATCTCGATTTGTATTCCGATAAAAGGTTTACCTGCATAGACTTTTCTGTGGTTTTCTCATGCGTTAACGTAAATCAGTCTTGCCTCTTGATGGAGAAAAAGGCCTCCAGTAAGACATGATTCCTTTCCGATTCTTTTTAATTTAGGTCGGATGATTTTGCGTGATTAGGGAAAAGTTATTTTTAATAATTTCATCTATAAAGGAGGGGCACTACAACTATTTCAATAATGTAAAATGTTCAGACTGGAATCATGAAACATAGTATCGGCAGTCGGTTTAATATAATAGCAGATGATTCCTGGAACGCAGATATGATGATGGAGAAAAATGTAAAATATATTTTGGGGCACCTTTAGTTCTTTACGGATAAGCAAATATATTGTTTAGAAAGAATTATTTGCTTAACGTTTTTGTTTTAATTATATTTCAAAGTCTTCAATAAAAGGTATTGTCCTGAGACATTAAGACCAAAGATATGAAATGAAACATACTGTTGCATTCTAAGGGTTCGTGGATTTCGAGTAACTCATGACAACACTTGATGAAGAATCGAAACGCAATTTATTCGCCAGTAAGCACTATTACACAGGTTTAGCTACACAGGTAGTTTAAAAGACCCGTTAAACTCGTCGAAAAACTACGGGAAACCCGATGAAACACTCAGCAACACAGCCTTCAAGCTATAATGGTGAAAAAATTTCACGACACTAAAGCACAACTCATGACTCGGTCAGTCGCTCTCAAGCTAATCTCTGAACTCAAAACACACTACTTTCTTCCCATATAGGTAGTGTGTATATAGCTTTAACCTACCTTCGAGAATATTCTCTAGAAAGCCACTAAGTATGCGTTCTAGAATGTTCTTGTTCCGTCTATGGCATATCGCCAGTTTTGTTCCCAAATATCGCCAAATGGGCGATTTCACGCCATCTGGCAATACTGCCACTTTATGGCAACCCCAAACCTGCTTTGTGGGGAAGCTGTCTCACAGTAGATGGGCATTTCGCAATAAAACTTCCAAATATCATTAAAACACAAAACTTTCTACTAAATAACACTACTTTTTAGATTTTCACAAAATGGTTTTTCTCGATCACAGCAATGGGTCGTAACTCAAAACTGACATTCATTTCCTTTATGTAATGACAAAATTTTTAGAATTTATGATTAATCATTTTATTATAAATTATTCTGAATGCTGAAACACTTTCCATTCTTCTTAAGTTCCGCACATTTATACGTTATTATATTGCAGCAATTATAATTCAGTGATCTGGCAAATTCTCACTTATTACAGTATTTTCGCAGTCATACAAAAGTAGATTCTTAATTTCAGGTACAAAATAAATAAATATTTTTCAAAGTTTTCATAAAATGAAGTTTTTAAGACAAAACATAAAAAATAATTCGTAAATTATTTTAGCTAAAATCTTGTACTGCAAAAGAGATAGCTGCAATTTTATCCAAAAATGGTCAAAAACAGGGATAGAAAGATTCCAGGAAATCGTAAAATGGGGATTTACAAAATATCAGGATTTCATAGTATGTAATGGTGTTGCTACTTACTAGCGTTCTATCAGTTCAAAACATCAGATTCGAAAGAATTAAACGAATATGAGTAGGCGCAACTCTGCATTCTATATGTGTTCCCGATGTGGAATTTTACGTATTTATAATAAAATACAGTTATTTTCATATTCGATTCTATCTGATGTTTGACTATATTGAATTATTTTTATCACATAAGTAGGTAAACAATCAAGGTCATTAATACTTTTAATTCCTTAACACATATCTAATACCTGATCTAAGCTTAAATTCTTTTTTTTTTTTTTTTTTTTTTTTTTCAAGTCAAATAATGATGTTTGAAGCGGTTTAGCCTTATGCCAGCTTTTGAAAATACAAACGTAAGTTGAATAATGCATACGATTGTGGCATTTATGTTTAAATTTTACTGAAGAAATTTTATTTAATTGAATAATTTCCTTTTTGCATCTTTCGCCAATTCACGGTTCTCTCATTCAAAATTTATGTAGATTTGAATGGCAAACGGTTGAACTTTAAAGTTTAGAGAAGTACTGACAGTAATGTGAGAATTTGGCCTGCTGTCCGCTGAGCTGCCGATAAAAGTAAATTATGCTGACTCTGTTTCTGGTCTTGTTGTGAGTATTATATACTGAGAGATTAGGTCCTGTTTTGTTAAGTTGTGAGTTAGAATTTCTGTTGCGGTGTAGACAAGCTTGTCTTCTCTACTCAAATTAGATTTAAATTTTTGCATTCATACCCACTGCAAAAGGAAGCTTTGAGTTTTAAACTAGAACAAGACTGCCTGTTGAATCTATGTTTGTATATTTTAGTTTAATCACTCACAGGTGGTGAGGTAGAATAAAGCTGAAGTGGTTTAATGCTGTGGTTTGTTTGTTTGATGGTCAGATATTTTGGTTATGATAATTCCACTCACAGAATATACGTATATAATAACGTTTTATTGTTTTAATTTGACTAGTTAAGTTATCCGGAACTCACAGCAGATTTAATGAGATTTTTTTTTAAGTTTTACTAACAATTAAGGATAGTTAAGCACTGTCCTTTCTTCCCTTGATTCACGTCACATGTATTTGCTCAGACCAGAAGGTTAAACAAGTTCTCATTGCAGGATCTTGCACTTGAAATAATAAGAATGAGAAAGGTTTTGGATACAGCCTATTAAAATTTCTCTAAAAATTATATTTTGTATTACATATCTTTAAATGCAGAACAAATCATTTAGAGAAATATATACCTATTAAAATGATCTTTAAAAAGATCTTCAGAGTAGAAGAGCAGACCTTTAAATGAAGAAGACACCATTTAGAGAAATACATACCTATTAAAGCTTCTTTTAGCGAGAGAAAATGCAAAGAAAATCTTAGTTCTAATTGGAAATAAATGCTTAGAGCAGCACCATTAAGATAGTCATGCGCTGAAAGAATAATAAATCAATTAAGAATTGTGAAAAAGATTTTACGATCTCATTTTTTTTTCAAGAAAACCATGATAATCATGCATATTTTTTATTTCTTACAAGAAAATCAGTTGGTCTTTGAAACTGTCAAAGAGACCTTAGATAAATAAAAAAAAAATCTAACATAAAGTAAAAGTATAGTTCATTAGTGTTTTTAATGAACGCTTTAATGTTCATTTTAGTCCTCTACGTGTATATTAATGATACGGGAATCTTAAGAAAACGTCTTCCTATATAATGAGTTCTGAAAGTTAAAGTTTAACGAGTATAACTGCAGAAAGTGTTTTGTAAGTTAAATAAGGATTGAAAGAAGTGAAACCGAGAAACATTTTGGTTTAAGAACAATAATTTTGGACAAGAAAATCTGCATATTTTATCTGAAGAACATTCAGATTTTAAAATTCAGTAAACTGATAATTTACAAATAAAATCTCTGTACCTTCTTTATTGTTAAAGCATTCCATGACGAACCGGAAATTCACATATGAAAATTTAATTTATTGTATTATTACATTCTAAAACAATTTTCTCTAGTAATCTCAAATGACATACATTTTACATATTGTACGACATTATTTGTGTGACAAATTTATATTCAGGTTAGAACTTGTTAATGGACTTACTAGTTCCAAAACACTGAATTTGAAGCCAAAGATTATTTACTTATGTTTACAATATTGCACTCTTCTTCTCTTCATTATTTTTCAAAATATCTAACTAATTTTTATAAACATGTATAACATTACTGTAATAAAAAGATTTTTCTAAAGAAATGAAATCCAGATTCCATGTGTAATAATTCCTCGATGTAGATGAATCGTTTGTACTGTTCGCATGGAATTTTAATTAAATGAGCATAAAAATATATACCTATTTCAGTTTTATGATGCAACATGGGAGAAACAAGACGGAAAACATATCGGAAATACAAAAGATAATAGCTTTTATGTTTTATTACTAATTTAAAATGCTAATAGTTTTAATTCTAGTAAATATTTTTAAATTTTTTTAAAATCTTACAACTTTTGATTGAAATTGCTTAATTATGAAACTACACGTTCATTATAAAATGCTTTTAGGTTTATAATATTCAAATATCTTATCAAATTTAACATAAAAAAAGTGAGCTGAGAAGGTTATAGTAGTTAGTGTATAACAATTTTAAGTTTTTTTCTTTAATGTTCTTTTTTTTTTTTTTTTTTTTTTTTTTTACTTAATACGTGCTTTGTCCTTAGACACTACATGGAAAGGGAAGGATGTCCCGTGGAGGTCTTTTTAAGGGAAACTGGCTAGTATCCACGTCACACATGAGGAAAACTACGAAAACGCCCATGCAGCCAGCCCGTTCGCCGGGACTATAATGTCAGCGCCTTTACCGCTCGGCCGCTGGTGGACCCATGTTCTTGTTTTGAAAATTATTTTTCCGAGCATTAACACAAATAAACTTGCTATTTTTCAAAATTTCATTTTTTTCTGATGAACAGTGTTCATTACATTTTGATCAACTTTTATGTTTCTAAACGTGTGATGGGAGTACTTCGATGCAGATACTGTTGTGTAGAAATTCATAATTAATTTAATATATAATTATTATTCACATTTCCCTGTAAAGGAGTGAAGTTCCTTAACATTTTATCGGAATTCATATTAAATGAAGGAAGTTTTTTTTTTTTTTTTTAAGTTGGTTTTAGAAAACATGTACAGCAGCAGGCGTGTAAAACTTTTTCTTTTGCCTTTTTTCTAATTAAAACTGCTAATGTGGAGTCAAAGATCGGCAACGACTATGCAAAGAACTTTGGATTGCCACCCATTTATCAAAGCTAAAAAATGTTCTCTTTTCGAGGAAAGATTTTTGACTTTCGTCAAAAAGAGAACATTATTTAGCTTTTCTAATTTTAGAAATTAAGCGTCAGAGCTAAATTCCTAAAATTAGAAGCATACTGGAGTCTTTTGAAACACAGTCTGGAAAAGTGGACGAAAATAAATGAATAAAATGACTAATAAAATAACTAATAATTAAAATCAAAACTAAATAAAAAAAAATAAAAAAATCTGAAATGTTTCAGATTTTAAATTACGTCCAAAGGGGCTCCAAAGGGGCGTTTTTTTTAACGTTTTGAGTGTTACCTTTATTTATTAAATATCATGTTCTTTGCACTTAAACCATAAAAGGTTTCAGTTCAACAGCAATATCGCAAAATAATTTAAATTACGAGCATATCTTTAGAATTTCCGATATACACAGTCTCCGCGAGCTGGAGATAAAATGTTCGTGCAGTGTTGTACAGTTTACAGTTTCTATATAACGTACAGTGCCATTTCTCGCTTTTAAAGCATTGAGTTTGTTTTAAATCAAAAATTCGTTAAAAGTTTTACAAAATATAAAATCTATAATAAAACAAATTCCAAATTTGGGATTACAGATGCCCATATTCGCAGTTGAGGATTTCGTATTCAAAATTCGATGGCTCTATGTACCATTGTTTTATCACAATGCGAGAAATAGACAATCATTTATGCAGATTTTTCATTATTTAATTTCTTCAAGTATAATGCAGGACTCTAACATTTTGTGGCAACAGTTTGAAAAGTGAACCGAAGTTTATAGGAGTCCGACGCAAAATCGCAAAACGAAAACAATAGTCCTTCAGGGACAAAGCCCCTTTGGACTAATAATGTAAAGAGATAAATAAAAATTTTAAAAATGATTAAAATAATAATGAAGTTAAAAACATTCTGAAGGCTTTCAGATTTTACATTACGCCCAAAGGGGCATTTTTTTAACGTTTTGCGTATTACCTTTATCATGCGTTTCGCACTAAAACCATATTATTTATTAAATATCATGTTCTTTGCACTTAAACCATAAAATTCAATTCAAGAGCAACATCGCAAAAATAATTTTAAAATGAGCATATCTTTAGAATTTCCGATAGACGGTCTCGCGGGCTGGAGATAAAAATTTTTCTTCGATACAATGTTCCCATTGCTCGCTTTGAAATCGTTAGCCTTGTTAATAAAAAATTCGTTAAATTGTTACAAAATATGAAATCGTAATAAAACAAATTCCAAATTAGGGCTTCCAGATGCCCGTATTCGGTGAAGGATTACGCCATTCCAAATTTGATGGCTCTATGTATCGTTGTTTTATCACAATGCGAGAAACCTTCATTACTTAATTTCTTTAAATATGTCATAGGGCGATAATATTTGATGGTAACAATTTGAAAAGTGAAATGGACATTTAAAGTTTTAAAATGCCAAAACGAAATTAATAGCCCTTCTGGGCTAACGCCCTTTGGCCTAATAATAATAAAAAAATAAAATAAATACTGGAACTCTTCTTATTTGTAGCTCCAGCTGAAATTATAATTTCGCTGAAATTATAATTTAAGAAATAGTTCAATAAGACTCCGGTTGAATTTAAGCCCTGAATTTGTAGTATAATGTGCTATTTTAAAGGTTAAATAGAAACAAAGATCATTCTTTTTCTTGCACACCAATGAAAAAACTTAAATGGTTAAAGAGTTATTAAGCAGAATAAAAAGAATAAAAGCAAGTTTTAAAGGAGATGCGTTTATGTATGAAAACAAAGAAAGAAATGTCCAACGAATTCAAAGCACGATCCCCTGCCGATGTAATTCTAGCTGTTAAGTAAAACATCTTGGGCAAAAGAATCGATTTTTAAGATTAAATCATTATCAAAATAAAATTTTGGAAATCAAAAATATTATCTGCTGAAATCATAGTTCAGTTACTTAAGGGAGTACTGGAGCTTTCTTATTTAGGGCTACGGTATGCTCCAGCTAGAATAACGATTTATCTCAAAAATGGAAATGTACCGGAGCCGAGCTGCGGCCTAGTTTAAGCTGTGTTAGGCATTGTCTTAATTGTAAACTTCTCTAAATTGCTTGTTATTTCTTATCTCACAGCACTATCAGTTGTATTGTTGTAAAAGATTTTGAGTGAAAAACTGGTTTTGATATTCTCTGGATGAGTTAGGCTGTTTTCCTCGGAAAAATCGTAATTTATTGATTTATTGCTTGGATTTCATTGTTTTTCTGATTCTGGAAAAAGAATATTAGTGAGCATAGGTTAATGTAATTTAATTACTAAATCGAAGAATTGGTAACATGAGGCGGTCCTCATTAAAAAAAATAATAAATAAAAATAAATAAATAAATAAAAAACCGAGGTTTTAAAAGTCGTTGCTTTAAAGATAAAGGGCGATTTTTAGTTTGACCTAGTTACGGAAGTAAAAAAATAAAAAGGAGTTCGTGCTGTCACCTCCACTAGACAGTATTGGCTAAACAACCCCGTGTGGTGCGGAAAAATATTTAATTTTAGTTTTTTTTTATCTCAATGATTTTATTTTATTGTAAAGAAAAGGTGTGTATTATTATGGCAAAGCCTCGAGGGCTACCTGCCTAATTGTAGGGGTGCCTTCGTGGAGGACTTTCTAAGGGAAACTGGCTCATATACACGTTACACATGGGGAAAACCACGAAAACGCCCATGCAACCAGCCCGTTCGCGGGATTCGAACCTTGGACCGAACTACCAGTGTTCAGCGACTTTACCGCTCGGCCGCTGAAAAGAAAAGGAAATTTGTAATAAAAGCAATAATTAAATGATTCTGATTTCTGAACGCACCCCTTTGTCTCGAGTACCTTCATCTTTCTTATATTTCTAATGATATAAATGATCTTAATGAAAGAATTAATTTCATCATGGGAAATAATCAGATTTTCAGATGTGCAGTCCTGATGTGACGGTTACTCGTGCATAGACGTATGAATTTATTGAGGAAATAAAATACGGTAACAAGGTGTTGTGAAAAATAATAACCACGCCCTTGAACCTTCTTCTCCAGTAGCAGATCGGGGGTGTTACTATGTAAGTGGATCTCTATTTATCTGTCTGTAAGCAACTGAAAAGAAAGAGTTATCTAGCTATCTAAAAATAGAATAGTTATTGAAAAAATTGTGTATCTTTTAAGAAATTTTAAAAATTGCCAGTAAGATTATTGAAACATTTTTTAGATTAAATTGAGTGGAAAAGATACATTTTATTTATTAAAATCGAAAGATAAGTAATTCAAATAATTAATGTATTTGCAAAAGGAATAAAAATCAGACCCTTATTATTGTAATTCGATAATTTATTGTTGTATGTTTGAAAACATTAGATATCAAAGAATTTATATGAGAAGATCTAAAATTTATCAAAATTATTTTAAAATTATTTGTGTAATCCTTCGCTCGCCAACTTTTACAAAAATTAAGTACTTGATATATTTTCTCCAAATGTGTTAGTTTTGCTTATTAAGGTATTCGAGAATTTGGGAAAATAAGGAATAAAAATAAATCTACGTGTATGATAGCTTTCTCTTTTTTAAAATTATTGATGTCTCTTTCACAAATGTGTATGTTTTACTTATTAATGTTTTTGCAAACTGGGAAAAATTAGAAGCAAGAAATTAATCTGCATGTGTGATATCTTCCGAATTTTTAAAATTATTAATGGATCTTCCGCGAATATTTATGTCTCATTTATTACGGGAACAGTGGGCGATGATTTTAGCAAACATAGACCAAGACTTGGGAAAACAATTCACAGGATAATATTCTACGCCTTTAACTCTATCGTTTATAAAAACCACTTGTGTGTAAAATTATTTTTAGAGACATTATAAGCATTTGAATACACTTGTTTAACTTTTTAGTGATATTTAAATGTGAGTATAAACAAACATTTGAGAAACATTATTTTAATTTCCGCAACTATTATTAGTATTTTTATTAGTAGTAAGATATGAATCTGTAAGATATAAAGACTGGAATTTATACAAGTTTGTTTCACTTTTCTTTCAAGAATGACTCGTCCAGACATTATAGATGCCCAATAGGTGTCATATCCTGGTGTTTGTTTTTCAACGTACTATTGCCAAAAATAATAAACCTAAATCTCATTCAATGATGAAAACCAAATCTAGTTTAGTTTATGTGGAAAAGAAGAGACGCATCTTATAAGTTTGCATAGTGTCATATGGAAGAACTGCCCGAAGGAAACATTTGAATCGAAAAACAGACTCGAAATGGCTGTTATTACAGCAATCAGTGACTTTAATTTTAAATGTTTAAATACTTTAGGTATGCAATAGGAAACAGAGGCAAGATAAACGTTGTATAGAAAAAAGCGAAAAGAGGTGTTCGACTGGATTTAGAATAAAAGAAGAATTACCAAATAAATAAATAAATAAATAAATAAATAAATAAACCTCTGCATAAATTAGCTAAACGTAATGAAAATGGAAATAAGGAAGGGGAAACATGGTGCAGAAAGTTTTTAAAGTTT